TTCTTGAGCCCCTTATTTACCTGGCGCCAACCTAAGAAAAGATCAAAGTACCAAATGCTTAGGTCACCCGAGAGAGGCCTACGGGGCATTACGAGAGAAAAAGCTCCTAGGCCGTGGGTCAAGACCAGAGAGCTACAGGTACACCTGGGGCAACAGAGCACTCACAGGCGGGGTCGGGGCAAGGGCAGCACGTCACGGAAGTTCTCAGCTTAATCTTACCGGCGCTATATCTTGGGTGCGCGATATGGTGGGACTGTCTAGCACAGAGACCCCCAACGCAAATCGGGGAACCGGAAAGTTCTTCCGCAGAAGTCAGGCAGCTAGTAGACCACCTCAGTGAGCAAGCCAGGGAGGTGGCCAGTGAAGCTTCAATGGAAAGAACACCCAGAGCTCTTGCAATGTGGATGGCTGGGCTAACGCTAGCATTCGCTATCTCCATAGCGCTTGCTCAAAAGGTCCGGGGTTATACTGGTTATTAAGACGAGCCTGGAATTTATGGGAAAAGGTATACTACGCAAGAAGAGCTCCTCCCCCCTAGATCTTTGCTTAGGAAAAAAAAAAGTCGAGTAGTCGTAATTCGAAAAAATTGAAGGTGGGGCTGGGCAGTAGCACCGAGATCTCATAGAGGAGGCATTTTGATCGCGGGCTCCCTTTTAGATGTGGATTTAGGTGGTTTTTTTTTATGCAAGACGAGTGAAATGGGAAAAGAAAGGTGGAGGTTGACCTGCTTTGTGACAGATGTGGAATGGAGCCTGAATCTACCATTCATGTTTTAAAGGGCTGCCCTTGGGCATATGGCATTTGGCTACTCTGCCCATTAGCCCTTCATACTCAACAGATGCAGGCTCTCTCTCAGATTGGGTGAAGGAGATGGGGAAGTGTCTTGATGAAGAGCAGCTGGAACTGATGCTAGTAGTTGCATGGGCTTTATGGAGTGATATAAATTTGCTGCTGTTCCAGGACATACAGAACTATCCTGTGGATGTGGTGAACAAAGCAATCAGCTTCTTCTAACAGTATAAGAAGGAGAAGCTACAAATTGTGCAAACACCTATTGGCAGGCCCCACCCCATGGTGTTTATAATTTTAATACTGATGCTGCTATTTTTAACCAGCAAGGGATTGGCTGCTTGCTTCATCCCGCCCTTCCTTCCCTCACCTGTCCCACGCGCTCTTTGATGCCGAAAATCCTATGTTCTGAGTGACCATGAACACACTACTTGAGACTCTTCTTTCTTGTGAATGGGTACGAAAGAAAGCAATTCTTCGCATCACTCCTTCCTTGGATTAGTAAACTACTATCGATAATTCGTGGAGGGTTCTTCAAGGGCCCTGACCGATAGGAATCAAGGATGAGTCTCTACATCTATCTTATATCTGTTCATTTAGGATTAAAAAGGCTTTAGGAAGACAATGAGATCTCAGACTTTCCTGAAAGCTTAGTAAGGGAGTCCTAAGTCGAATAGCCTTATTCAATTCAATGATTTTTTAGTGAATACTCGAAAGAATGGACAACCCACGGGGTCACTCTGTCCTTAAAGACTCATGTTATCGTTCACGCTTCCCGGCCAGGGATTCAATACCTAAAAGGCAGCTACATGTCTACTATTTATTCATACTTTAGAAATGAAGGACTCTCTCTATCCTGAGTTACTCAACCAGACCCGGACCTTACTCATACTTACTTCCCGGTACTCAAATCCGCTATTTCTCAACCGGACTCGAAGACAGTGGTCTAACCATTTCAAAGTCGAGGAATGGCAGAAGATTGCAAAGACTCGAGAACAGAAAGGGCATTGGCATCGGGGCTAGAAAGCAAGCAAGCAAGAAAGGAAAGCTAGAGAGAGATAGCCCTTTTCTAAAGTATATATAACCATTCTAAAGGCTTATAATCAAACGGACTCTCAAACCATAAGGCATGGGGTTCGCTTGAAAGTTAAATTCATGAGCTTGTTAACGGTACCTGGGCACCTCTTGCTAGTTGTTCTACCGCCATCTTTGATGGCCTGTAGCTTGATTTCGAACAGATAAATTGCTTCTTTCTATTAAAGGATAGACGAGCACACGTACGCAAAAGAAAGCCAAGGAAAGAGCGGCAAAAGCTTTTTCTCTTTTATTTAAAGAAGTAGATGCCATGAGGATGGATGCCCAATGGAGAATAAGATGTCAGCTGGGGGATTCAAGCTCTATACCTTACCTCTCCCAAAGGGCAAAGAAAAGGCCTATAATCAACGCAAAGGGGAGCTCTAAGGATAGGATACAAGCAGGGATAGAAAGATAAGAAAGAAAGGAAAAGGTTCATTAGCTCCATAGTTGCTAACAGGTAGGGGCTGTTACTGGTCCACAGATGAACTTAATCTCTCAAGTTGTTGAGCAGGAATGGGAACCTAGCAGATGCACTCATAGCTGATGCTAATGATTTATAACATTGAAAAAAATATAGTATAGAAAACGACTCCAAAAAAGTAAAATGCAAGAGAGGTTGGTAACTAGGTTTTCGGGTCCTGACAAAGGATGGAAACCGGCTTTCCTTAATCCCGATAAGGGTGCGGGAGGAAAACAGCCAGATCTATGGCTGATAGATGGGGAACTACCAACCTCCACAGGAGCCGCTAGCTCTCTAATGAAATAAAGTCCCGGATGCAGTAGAGCTAAAATATCACCGGAGGAAAAAACTTTCATTCTTCCGTCTTGAAAGCGAGTGAGCAAGCCCCATCCTCTTGGGAGTTTCCAACCTAGTCCTAAGGGCAGGGTTTGCGGGTAGGCAAGCTAGAAGCGACAGAGCCGATTCTTATCTTAAGTTTAAGTACCCGACCAGTAGTATGACCTAATCGATTTAGTTAACTTCATAAAGATACAGAATGCCTTTCAATTCAGGGGAAGAATATATGACAATTGAACTGAAAACTTAAATCTCAGTCTCAAGGGAAGTTAGTACTTTCATCAGCCGAAGAAGGCTTAATATGATCAATAGCTTGATTTAACTCCAGCGAGCCATAGAGCAGCTTTTAGGTTCCCAAGCGGTAAAGACCATACAAGAGTTTAATGCTCACGGAAATTCCCACTTGCTTTGCGGGAATTGAAAGCCTCTTTGCTATACTAGCCCTTGACCAGTGAGTGAGCCTAGACTCTCTCTATTCGAGTGAGTTCCACTTCTCTTGAAGCGTAATACCCTTACTGCTAGTTTCCTATTCCCGAATCTAAGGGTTAGCTTTCTATCTCTCTTAAAGAGGGTCCTCGTAGCGCTTTCCTCTCACTGTTATTGCCCGGTACCCTAGCTAGATTAAAGTTCTCCTCCCCATTCTTTTAATGGTAGCAATGGATCCGGAACAACTTCTGACCGCTTAACCACACTACACTCAGATTTATTCAGTCGGAAGACTGCTATTGAATTAGCGCTTTCAAAGGGAGACTCCACTGCTATTGATAAGTGCAGCTAACCTCTTGTTAGCAGCTTCTCCCGTCTTTCGATCAGACTCTGAACACGAATTGTGTCAGAAATCCGCCGTAGGCTGGGCTCTTCCCCTATAGTATTAACCAAGAAGCGCCTATATAGTTCGCTTTATCGTTCGCTATCTGGTAATAAGGGGTGGGTTAATACGGGAATCTCTGGGGCCGCGGGGGGAACTTCAGGAGCATCAATGACAGGTGCTGGGGCATTGTTGCCTACTGTAGGCGGGGACGGTGGTCCGTCCACTCCCACCCCATCGCACGGCGCTATAACCATAAAGTGATCCCCCCACAAAAGATAATGGTACCAAAAGGGGAGTCAGATGATGAGGAGATTCCCACGTATTAAAGAGTGTGGTGAAGGCGAAACTAGTCAACACATTCTAATAATACCGATAAGAGAATGGAGGAACCCACTGATGGAACTAAAGGGGAGGGGAACTATACCGGAGTTTACAGAAGCAATGCGGAGATAGCGGACTGAAAGCCCATTGTGGAAGGTGACCGAAAGAGTGCAGTTTTTGGAATGGAAGCTAAGAATGAAGAGGGGTCAAGTACCTTTAGCGCAAATACGGAAACCAGCCGCAGCAAATGCTAGTCAGATACCGTACATTCTAGGCCAAAAAGTAAAAAGTTAGAATAAACAAAGAGAATCATAAAGGAAAGGGAAAGGCAGAAAGAAGAGGCGGGATTCCTTTTCACAGCCCTTTACGTAGCGTGATGATCTCCTCGGGGGCTGACTTAGCCCCCATCCCCATTGTCAAGTGATGGAAGATCAGACTAGAGATCAAGCACATCGGACGGTATCTGAAGGGTTATCTTGGTATCAGATCAATTGAATTAGCTAGCCTAACCAAGGGATCAAGAAAGGTAAGACCTACACCAACAGAGCGAGCGAGTCTTCCAGTGAAGCAAGAGTATACACAGTAGGTTCCATTGGAGAAGGAGCTCACAAGCCGAGTCTCTCCGCGGAAGCCGTGGGAATTTCCTTTTTTACAAGTCTGGAAAGAAAGTTGGGACAGAGGCTTCCTTTCCTAATTCCAATCGTGACATCGGTAATCCCACATCCTGAGATAAAGCCAGTCTGATTCACGTGCAGAACCTTTTTGTCCAATTGCTTAAAGCTCTGTCAAAGAAGCATTCTATTCCCGAAAGTGCGGATTTGAGCCTAAGACAACTGGGTTGACTTACAGGGGTTATTCCCGTATGGATGTAACGTTTTTTCCGCTAGTCTGTCCCGTAGTTCAAGCGTGAAAAAGAAGTGCCACTAACCTTCCCTTCTTTCGATTTCGAGTAGGAGTTCAAACTAGGTATTCTGCGATAGGAGATAATATAGGAGTTTATAGAGTTACATCCAATTCTCCAACAATTCTCGTAGAGTGCTGTTCGAAATAGCTCTTGTGGACTGTAAGGTTTTGGGCATCGTACGAACCCTAGTCGAAGGTTCCTCTGCACGAAAGGCAATCGAGCTGCGTCCCGGCGAAATCTGACCCGATTCTTGCCACTCTCGCACAACACAAAGCCATCTTACGTTAAACCTAACCGGTGGCGTACTTTGAGGGGAGAGTACTCCCGTGCGCCCATACTGGTGTGGACCGTTCTTGCCTATTGGAATCTCTGGCTGCCGGTCTGCTTTACATGGATCCCTCGTTTGAGTGCTTGTTCTTGAGCTTCATCTCCCTCCATTTTACTATAGTCTGGGGAGTTTATTGGAAAACCTTTTCTAAATTTTAGTCTTCTTTTTTTATTTCATATACCCGCTCAATGGAAATTATGGGATTCCATATATAATTTAAATATTTCCCTACAAAGCAGCTCTCTTGAACATGAATCACCTCTTCCCATTGATTTTATCCTTGTCAAAATGAATGAAGTTAAAGCCATACCCGTTTCAAATTAAAATTTTTTTTATAAATTCAAATGTTATAAGTCAGGAACGCTATGTGAATAGGGTCTTAAAGCCCTCACCCAGCAAGAAAACGTATGCGCGAGACTAAGGCAGGCTATAGGCTTTATAGCGTTAGGGCTTTAGTTTGATTGCAGAGAGAGGAAGGAACGATCTCTAAAATGGGATTCGGAGTCGGGTGACTAGTGGTGCGGTGGACAATGACGAGCGTGACTGGCGTTTGTCCCATACAGAATAACTTATAGTGGAAGTGAGGCGAGGAGGCAATAGATTCATCTTGTCATGGAAGATAGACATGAAGGATAAGGCTTTGTAAGAGTGACCGGAGGAGCTAATAGTTTTAGTTTAACCGCCCATGCCGATCTGCCAACTTTCAAGGACTTACTTTCCGCTGACACCTAGTTGTTTCCTGCGGCTCGTCTCACGACTGGGTCAAAGCGGGGTCCAACCAATCTACGCATAGAATAAAGCAATCGGCAACCGAAACAAGATAAACCGCTCGAAAAAAAGTAAAGCACTCTGATAGCACAGGCCCTGTTTAAGCTTCGATCAAAGCAATCAGGTATGGTGGCTTAGGAGTTTGAGTCGTATTATCAATCTTAGCCAGCACGAAAAGGGCAGAACCTAATCAACAAAAAAGAATAAACGAATAGAAAGAGGGGGTTTACCTATGAATGTAGTTCTTCTTTAGTCATTCCCTAACCTTTTCTCATATTAGCGTAAGCTACCGTTTAATATGAATAAATACTTTTATTTCCGAACCTAAGGCTAATAGCTCCCGTGCTGCTTTTGACTCCTACTCAATGAATCCGAAGCTGTGGTATGGGTGTCCCGTGGATGCGCCTGCGAGTGAAGCAATGAGAATTGTTGATTCATTTTACACATGGAGAAGGGAATCGAAGATGGATGGAATTTCTTCAATTCAAAATATCCATTGCGTTCTTTTCTATTAATATTAAAGCTTGGTCACCAGAATGTTAATTGAAGAAATGTCTTCCCCGTGGCCAGAGTAAAGTGTTTGCTATTCCAAAGGGTGCTTCTCTGATCTTCAAGCTTTCCCGTGGTGCGCAAATGAAACTATTTTCTTGCCTTCACCCGGCCGATTAGTAAAGATTCCGGCTTCTCAATCGATTGCGTTTCATATTATAAGATCAGGGGAAAAAGGCATCCATTCAAACAGCTCCCATTCCTATGTTAACACCAAGAGAAAGCCTAAGAGAAGAACATGCTACCAGTCCTAGCTGGCACCGATGCCAAGGGAAAGCATTTCAAGAAGAGACAACCAGTACGCCTACTTAGCAATTCCTCGTAAATAAAGATGCCGAAAGTAAGACAATAGATAGAGAGTCTCAGATCATAAGTAGTTCTTTGAAATAGAAAATAGGGACCTTTTTCACCGACATAGTCAGAAGCTATGGATGTTGAAAACGCACAAGCGAAGCGCCTTAGTCAGCGGAAGGGAAGAAGTCACCCTCAATTCGATCTAGCAAGAAATGCTTTACCGATAAAGTCAAGCGAGAGACAGTAGATTCCTTCTTAGGGTTCTAATAAATTCGACTAGTGCAAAGAAAGATGCAGTATCCAGTTGTAGAGCGACGCAGCAGAGGGAAGTTGGCACGATTTGTAATCCCTAGGGTATCGATGTCGGAGAAGGGGATCACTCAATGCTGCTACAGGCACTCATGAGTTCGGATTGGGTAGCGTGAAGGAGATAATAGAAGGAACCGCCGAAAGTAGTTCAGTTTTACCAGGTCTTCCTGAGTACAAATCTCCTCATCCAATAGCATTCTTAGTTAGTACCATTCTTATAAGCCTGTTTTTGACGAGTGAAGCGGCTAGGCTACATGCTTAGCCTAGTATTCCCGGATTGGTATTGGATAAGAAAGATTCCGCTTTCTTCCCACTCATGAAGCATGCAGAACAATAAAGTGGGGGGAGGGCTTCTGTGGAAAAAGGGGAAGTTTGGGACGAGAGGGACTAAAATAGTAGTCACCAAACCCAAAGAAATTTTACTATGTTAAGGCGAATTGATAATTAAAGGTACTTCCATGTGTATAAAAGCACAAGGGGAGGAGGCCCCTAGTCCAAGTATCATAGCATAGGAGGGTGAACTTGGGCTGGGGGGAAGGGGAAGTGGTCCTATCCGATGTGGGTGTGCCAGAGGCTACGGTTTTAGCTTATTTGAAAGTCAAGTCTAAAGTGTGCCTCTCTTCTCGTGAAAGGGAGCTAGCGGTACCGGAAAAACTTCCTTCACTTCAGGCTAGCTACAATTGGCATATCCACCACTTGAATGATTCTAGACGTTTTACAGCAAGAGAAAGCAAGCAAGAAAACGACACTAAACAAGCAATAATACTTAAGAAGTGGTCACCCACCGCTTAGGCGGGAATCCATAGCTATAGTGGGGATGGGAGTCAGTTACAACAAGATTGAAACTAGAACTGCGGAACGGACTGAACCAAAGGCTCTTCCCGGGAAGCGACTAGTTAGTTGAGAACCCTCTGCTTCTGACCCACGTAAGTTGCATGGTCACCTTCCTCATCCCCTGAATGAACTCCTGCAACTGATCTCCCACTCGGGAAGTTCAACTAAAGGCAAGGCAAGGTTTTCAAACTAAATTGTCCGAGAAGATCTTATTCTTAGGACTTAAAATCATTCCCCTGCTGTAGCCCTTTCAAACTAACCCTATCCCGTCGCTTTCTCATATGAGATAAAAGCACTCTCTCATTATTGCTAATTAAGTGGCTCTCTCACTTGACGAAGCGCGCAAGCAATTTATCTTATCTTTCTAGTAGGGCTAGGAGTTACTGAACAGCCACCCTAACCTGGTCGGTGTGTGGGAATGACTTAAGGCTAAAGAAAATTTTCTTGAGCTCTACGGATGACTAACAAGGCAGGATCCAAGCGGGTGACTGCCGAGCAGCAGCACTGCTCGCCCTGGCATAGCCGTATGATTTCGTCACAGATTGTATTGTCTGTCTGGACTGTCTAATCCCGGCTTGTAATGGCATCAGGGCTAAAGCACATACATATGGAGAGGTGCAAGGATGTGCACTAGATTCTGATTTACTTACCAAAATCTACCAGCGGTCTTTTCGGTATGGTACGAATGAAGATTTTTCAACCCGTATGGCCGAGCTTCCTGTAATACCATCAAATTTTTTGGTCTCACTCCTATAAACATATGCATATGGATCTGTCTCTACGACCTTAGCCTTCAAAGCTTTCCGGTTCTATTCCTTTTTTGAATAAAGGCTTGTTATCGACGAATAAGCTCCTTAGACTTTGCCCTAAAAGCTCATCCTAAGGAAAGTCGTTTTCACTCGGGACTTCTTTCTATGCTAGCATGCTTCTACTTCTATTCTTGATCTGGATTCTTAAACCTTTATTCTAAGATAAGATGCCAGTCTAGAAATCCGTACTTGTTGACTAAAAGACTTTCGGCGGATTTAGAATCAATCAATCCCATCCGTCTATTAGTTCAAGCGTATTCTCTAACAGCGGATTCTTGCTAACAGAAAGAGAACCGCCTATTCTATCAAGCAGTCAATTCAATAACAGACGATTTGCTGCAAAGAGACGATTCGGTGCGCATTTCATGCTACTCCACGGTGGCTAGCTTTCCTGCTTCTGTGCTTGCTATTAATTCCTAGATGCGCGTAATCGTCTTCTGAGGAGATATCTTTTCTTTATGTGTTAGAATACGAAAAAAGTTTAATTCTACTTAAGAAGAAGTCTTATTTTAAAAAAGACACAAACCCTTATTTGTTAAATGAATGAATGAATTATCAAACACTTAATTGAATAAGTTCAGGGCTAACAGTCTGAATAAAGCCAATAGTCGCCCCTGATTCGGATGTTACGATAAATCTGTCCTCTGATTCTGATGCCGCAGAAGAGAAGGGAAACCCTGACCGAAGGTAGCACATAAGACGATGTGTAAAGCGTATAGCCAGCCGATGTAATCGAATCCTTCTGTTCCTAAGGGAAGGGGCTTACTCATATATATAATATATAATATAAAAAAAAAGTTTGCACTTAATCTATTAAGGCCAATCTTCTGATCTTCAACTATTCTCACCCCTCGGAGTCTAAAAAAAAATATGTGTATCTTGCTATTGGTATCAATCGGTCCTCTCTTTCCTTTTGGTGGCGCATGCTTAGATTACCCTTATTCTTCATCTTCTCTACCCTTCGGTTGCTTAGGGCGCCCAGAGGGATTCGCCTCTAGGAGAATAGTTATTGATCACATAGCTTGGGTACTAGAAGTTGCTGATCGTATCATTCGGGCAGAGCCTGGGTCCCTTAGTATTATGTATAGCGCAACTCCCTCTTTCTTTTGCTAGTTTTGTTCCGATCGATGAAGGAAACCCTTATCTTACTGGAGCGCGCGGATTCGTTTTCATATTTAACTGGGATCGGTCCTAAGGCGCGTGCTTCAATATTGTCTTGATTGGCAGTCGCTCTTCTGTATTTTTAATCTTCAGAGATACCCTCAGAGTTCTGTCCTGAATGGGAAGGTTTTTGAGTCAAGTCAAGAAGAAGAAAAAGACAGTCCCACAAAGGAATCTTGGACAATGGGCACAAGTCTTTATTAAAGAATTAGTATCTCCATTATAATAAGCATTTCTATCAGCTCTGCTCTTTTGTCTCCTGAATATCATCTCGAGACCCAAACTACGAGATCCGGATTGGAACCAACGCATATTGATTCAAAGCTTATGGCCCTTCAATACAACCCCCCTCTGTATAAAACCTTAAGTGAGCGGTGCGAGTCTACAATCGCTTGGCTGACTCGCTAGCCCTTATGGAATAAATACTCAGCCGCTCTAGTACACATGCTAGTACACCGAAGCACAGAGTCGCTTGTCATCGAGAGATTGGACATCCCAGCCACAGCACAGAGAGCCCTTCCGTCGAACGGGACTCATTCATCTTCTTGGATGAAGACTATCGAGAGTTGGAACATGATGAACTATCACCAGTCAAGATTACGAGGACGATGGGAACCTTGGTATTATGATTTCTACAATTACCTCAAGTACGGGTTCATATCAGAGTACGCCACTCGTGGTCAGAGGAGAGCCTGGAGGAGAACTTGCCCGACGATTTGTGATCTTGGGAGATGTCCTTTACAAAAGGTCCTTCAAGGGGTACTCGCCCTTCCTTAGACTTAATAGGAAGAAGGAGCGCACATTGTTGAACAAGCTCATTCAAGAGGCAAGGCCCCCCTAAAAAAAGCGTACCTTCGAAGGCATGATTGCTGCGATCAGGAGCTGTTTAACATAATTTAGAACAGGAGATCATAAGATTTTGTGGAGGATAAAGTCCAAAGTGAACCAACACTGGGATCTGATCATAGCCGCTGTGAGGATGCAAAGGCGATAGTTTTTCGATTCGGCAAACATGAGATGTGTCCCACACTTTAAGAAGTACATCGAATTTTTTAGATATCCCGTAATGTCCTTTTTGTACCTAGAGAAGGACGACCTCGAGAGAGCAGACGACCGGTAGAGTAGGTGCTCCATATCGTTCCTGCTGCGTAGGTCTAAGGTAATTAACAGTGCTAGCAGAGAATCAGTAGGCCCTCACCCTTCTCTAATAGGGGCAGTGCCACCTATAGAACGGGAATGTTCATCCTCTCTTAAAGTCCTTTAGGGATTTAGAGTCGGGAATAGAGCTGTGGCAAGCAATATAGATCGCCCCTTACGCTCTCTCTAAAAAAAGCCCTTCTTAGTAAAGCTTCGGCCCTATGGAGAAAAGGGAAGTGCAGATCTGGAGTGTTTGGACGAGAAAGAAAGGCTTTGCAGCAAGCTGAGTTGTACCGCAATTTGATTTTCCGGGCATACGAGAAAAGAGTCCAGCCGAGCATATTTGTTTGCTAGTTTCTTGATCCCGAAAATCTTGTACTCAGAGTCACGGATAAAGTTGACTACCCAGCGACGGAGTGGATGACCCCCCGTTCTTTCTAGTGGGTTTTATCCCGTCCCTTTTGGGACCATTCACCCTTTTCCAAGCATAGGTAGAACCCCTCTTTCCCATACACAACGACGGTTCCAAGCAAGATGAGTAGTTTATAGTCGACTCAATATCAACGAAACCCCCCCATTTTATCTTTTTAGTACCGATGGTCTTGTAGTGCACCCTTCATCGAAAGAGTAGGCGGTTGAAAGACCCACCTCTGAATAAACCTTTAGGTTGGGAGATATCAAAGGGGAACCTCGCCTAGCTTATCTGTCCCTGTATTATTCAACTCATCTGTCCACTTATCTTGTTCAAAGCAGAAGGAAGATTTGAATCCTTTCTTTCGAGGGTAATCCGCCAGTCTCTAGACTGGAAAAGATTAAATCCACTTCTTGACCAGCTTCTTAGGTGCTGCTTAGGCCTGCTTCTATGTCCTGTAACTTCTAAGGCTTCTCACAGGCATTTGCTTTAAAGGGGCTTGTTGGCCCCCTTCTGAGTTAGCTCTTTATGTCTGCTTTAAGCTTCGTCGGACATTTTTTGGCCCGTAGCTTACAACATCTTATGAGAAGGGCCTGTAGCTCGATACAATTGTTGGCCAGTTGCTTACTTGCGTACGGGCAGACGTATTCAGCCATTCCCATCCCTCATCAGGGCCCAGCTTGACAAAGATTTTGATGTGGATGAGAGGGGGAGCATCTTTTTTAGATATCCCCGCAATTAGAGCTATTAGATGAGAAGAGACTTCGCGCCATGGAACATGTCCAAGTCTACCAGAAAATTCCAGTGCATTCCAAAATCAGGTAATATAGATAAAGTTCAACATAGGGGAGAAAGTCTTGAAAAAGATTATTTCCGGACGTGAGCCTCATCCAAGATGGAAACTCCATT